TAGCTTTGCGCGAAATCAAAAACAAAACAAAACAAATACATGATTCAGTGATACACATTTCAGTTCATTAGCTTATTGGGATTACGGAAAAGTATATGTCAGTAATCTGGATGCGTTCAAGGATTTGTTGTCACAGGATTTATACGACTAAGAAATTTGATGTTTGTTGTTTGTAGAGAGAAATGAAAAAAATGTTTACGCTTACATACAGAGGGTTTAGTATGTAAAATTAAGACGATTTTAAATATGCAAGTCAGCAAGTCACATGATATACAGCAAATATGAAGTCGCAGTGTAAAAGCATGTTAGAACTGCATTTTAGCATTGTTTGGTATTACGTAGGTAGTGTGATCCCATCAAAAATTGATCACTTTTGTGAAAGGTATGTAACAGCTCTTTCCGTCGCAAAATATTAACACAGTCAGATAATAAAGATGTGTTCAGATGAGAGATTTAGAATTTCCAAGAAGGGTATATTTTTTTAACTCGTGGCATTGGAAAATTAGGAATATGGATCAACTTGGGAGACCTAGGGCCATCCAGAGAGAGACCTACAACAAGTCATATCCTAGTCGTGTTAAGCAGAGTGTTGAAACTTATAACAGGTAAAAATTCAAAAACACAAAGGTCCGTGGCAAAAGCCATCTACATGCCGTACATGTTATTCAGCGGAAATTCAATAAGAGAGACAATACTAAGAATACCGTCGCCTTTTATTTTGTTCTAAACCCCCTCCCCCAAGACGTCTAACAAGTATGACACCTTGAGATTGAACTCCATCAATAGGATCACAACCATCAGTGTCACGACCGTAATAACAACCAGCATACATGACCAAATACAGTGACATTACTACCAGTACTACTATAGCTTTCTTCGTAATCATCACTTTGTACACTGACACCGTTCACTAATCAAATAGGTTCACTAAATAATCACACACAAATAAATTCGCGTTACTAGCCAATAGGTTTTGCTGTTATTTCATTTTCTTCATGTTCTTTAAATAACAGAAAGCATCCGCCCCATCAAACTCTAAAGAATGGACAATAAATATTATAGAAAAGTGGCATATTCACTAGACCTAGAATTAAAACGTGCGGCGAGATAAAAACAGATGGATACTTACGTACAAACTAGTTACCTTCAAAAACAAGTAGAACGGAAAACAAATACTTGCCTCAAATTTGGAAGAAAGCTCGTATTCTTTTTTTCTTGCGAGGATGTCATCACGATACTGCTGTTCTCGCACATCATTTGCTAGCTGTAACATACAGACATTATCCATTCGGCCAGCAAAGGACATTGCAGCCGTTAATCTTTTTAACACTTAAATAAACTATACCACAAGAGTAGAGTAGGTACTATAGAGACCTAGGAAAAAAAGCAACTAGAATAAGGTAACTTCAACGGTTTTCTGTGTTTATGCTAAATCTGCATAGAAACTAGATAAACTAGAGATTTTAAATGTATATATATTACTAAAAACAAGTAGACAACCTATGATATGCCTGTATATCACAGTTGTTATCTGTTTGGAAAGAGTTTTTGTTTGTTTTAGCGCAAGGCTAAACAATAGGCTATATGAGCTCTGTCCACCACAGGGAATCGAACCTCCAGATTTTAGCATTATAAGCCCTTAAACTTACCGTTGACTCACTGAGGAGAGACACTAGGAAAGGCAGAAAGAGAAAGCAGAATACGTGATATTACATATCCATGTATTAGGCCTGTCAGTGAAACCATTAAAACTTACAAAAAAATCTTTATTTTCTTTCTTATGCGTTATTTCATTTATTTTTATTCAAAATAAGCCAAGAAAGACTTTAAATTTCAACTTATAAGTATGAAAGCAAAACTATACTTTTAACTAACAATATTGACTCAAAATTTTCGATATTGTAGTCATAAGATTATCCTAATTATCTAATACGGATCCATGAAGTAAAGTGATTTTGTAGCACTTCTGATGAATTCTAACACTTCAGTACCAGCACTTTCAAAATACTCGTGTTAAAATCTCTTTCACCACACAAAAAGTAAAGGATTTTCTTTATGGAAATTTTACAGATGGGTATACAAATTCATATTTTTTATTAGTTAAGTATAAGTTGTTTATATGTATATACCTAACTCTGTGTTGTGGAACTACAATTTGTTCTATACTTTAAATAAAAAAAATTTTTTTTTCGCAGTGGTCCACGAGAAAGCTTGACGTAAAACAAAAAGCTATAATAATATTGAAAATGAGATAACCAGGATCGAAGTAATATATTCCTGACATTGTTTTGTCTTCGGAATCCATACAAGACATTCTTATGTTAAACACAGAGAGAGATAAAGGCGAAAAGACATGTTTTTCAAAGAACCTTGTTTATAATCACTTAGACAAATTCCTTTACAATTTCAAATGACAAGTTATAATTCTTGTTTTCAAACCAGATCTTTTATAGTGTTTACTGTGTGCCAGAATTACAATTATATATTATATCCTATATTCACTTTGGACCTTTAATTATTGTTATAGAATTGCGATGATTAGGTAAGTTATACTAATTAATATATCTATTGTGGATTATCCTTGATGAGTACCTTTTTTTAAATTTTGATTGTAACACTCTCCCGAATTATCATTGGAAATTTTCTTGGATTATCTTTTATAACAGTCTATTATATTATCCTTGATGAAAGACAGTTTTCTGGATTACCTTTAATAACAGTTTCCCGGATTATCCTTGGTAAATCTACTGGATTATCCTTTATAACCGTCTACTAGATGATCCTTAATGACAGACTTTTCTAGGCCAAAATGGTATAACGATAGAGTTAACGGTGGCGTCCTGCAATCAGCCAGCCATCTGAGTCTGTTTCAGATTTGCCGCATTTCTCCTGATAGTCATACCTTACAAGAAAACGAACAAAGGACTTAATCAGCCAGTCGTATGAGTCTGTATTTCGGTGTATTTCTCCTGACAATCTTGTGGTATTTTCAAGTAGCATCGAGGTCCCAACACCTATCAGACAGCCAAATCCACAAATAACAGCAGATTTCATAAAGAAGTAAGGAGAGAGTTTTGTAGTTGATAACTTGACTGAATTTTAAGTTGCGTGAGAACTAAACAGATTAAACACAATCTTTATTTAGACACAACATTAAAAACAGTTTGCACAACTGCGTAGACAAGTGGACGATCGCCTCTACTGGATCAGTGAAAAGCTTGACAGCTTTCCGTCTCTTAAGGTGAATTTGCTAGTAACGATAAAAACCAAGTGAACAAAACTGAACAAAAAAAGTGTGACTGTATTTAGAACATCACCTCGCTTTCTTTGTCTAGTGACCAGCTATTAGATTCAGTAGACATTATAGTTCGGCCACCAAAGGATATTCTAGTTTTAACTAGTTTAACCCAGGCTCAAGATGCAACACTGAAATATTCTTTTAAGTAAATGGCGTCATCTGACAAAAGAACAGAGGGCTGAAGTGACTAGAACAAAATAATGTTAGACACTCTGGTCCACGAGTTGCCGCCATGACAGTGCGGAAACTAAATAATCAATTATTTGAAATAATTCTGTTACTAAAGAAGGTAAGGGAACATGGTATGTCTGCATACAACATTCTTACCTTACTACAAAACTAATAGATTATTGAAGACTTACCTTACTACAAGACGATTACAGACTCAGTCACCAGCCATCTAAGTTTTTACATGTAAAAGGTATTTTCTTTGACAGAGCCAATAAGTTTTGTATACATGTCTATCAAAAACCTATAAAAAATGTAATTCGTCGGACGACTGATTCGAACCTTCAACTTACACAACAAAACACATTGACTTTCACAATGGGCTATTTGTGCTCTGCCTACCACGGGCATCGAAACCCGGTTTCTCGCGTAGTAAGTCCAAAGAGATACCGCTGTGCTACTTAGGGGCCCATACTTTGGGGCTAGGGGTGCATAGTAAAGACGATGGTCAAATTCCACTTTTCGGCCTGACAGGATTAGCCCAAGAGTTAGCGGTGAGTACTGTTGATAAGCTGACTTCCCTCTAGTCTATCAGTTGAAAATTAGAGACAGCTTGTGCACGTAGCCCTTGTTTAGATTTGCGCGGACACACACACACTCCGTGTCCTGGGAGTTTATTGGGAACCTGTCGCAAAATCATCCTTAATTATCCACATCAAGATGAAGCGAATTTTCTTCCTTTCATTTTCATTAAAAAAGTGAAAGGAGAAATGGAAAAGGTTTAATCAAATGTACTTCGTACAACATTAACACCAAAACCAACTATTTGCTCGCGCTATCGTTTATTTTGTTATTTAAAAAATAAATAATATAAAAATTCGTTTTCATGCTAAATTCTCTTTCTCTCTGGTTTTATTAGCAGGACTTGGCCTTGTGGTCAGTATGTACGTCCGGGGTTCGACATTTAATTTTTTTTTTTTTTGCCATTGACAGAAGAGCAGTATCCATATAAATATAATATTGCTGTCTGTTGTATGTCCATGTAACTACTTTGCAGGGTGTGGATGGATCTTCACCAAATTTGGTATGGAGGTTTATTGGGTCTATGGGGAGATACACACAAATTTTCAGTTTTGCATT